CTCCTTTCGCAACCCCGAATGGAATACAGCAGAACTGGTTCAACTTACTGTAAGCCTCGAGTGCCGTTTATGGATATTCCTCTTCCCGAATGGGAATTTGGCAATAAGCGCATTGCAGATCGAGTGTAATGAACGCAGAAAAGCCGCGGGAATCGGATGCCCACAACACAGTGTCGGCGATTGTTGCAAATCGGCCTTCGAAGCGGAACTATCTTATCGTCTTTCAGCTCAGCCATCAGCCGAAGGACTCAGTGAACATTAAACGACAATCAAAGAAGCGATCCAAATGTCAATCAAAACAAGGAGGATTCTGGCAGATGATCAAAGCAGAAACGATGGATCTCCTCGACCTCTGCTGGACGCCCGCAGAACCCTTCCTCGTGATGCCACATATGACAGCGCGCAAATTCCTCAAACACCAGCTCATCAAGAGTCTGAGGAAGACCGCGAGAAGTGGTGGGTAGGAAAGTGTAAAGAGCTGAAGAAAGCTGCGGCTATTGGTAATAGTTTCAATCTTTTCCTTCTAACTAGGAATACGAGTCCCTGGAAAACAGGCGTAAGCGAGGTAATTAAGGGATCGGATGGCACACTGGTTTATCCATCAGCAACACCGTCTTGATCGGTGGGTTGAATATTTCAAGTGATCCCCGTCAACACGAGACCTCCGTGTACCTGCTTCAACTGGGCAAATACTGCCAGTTCACATCAGTCCTCGATCTGAAATAGGGGTCCCCGGGAAAGTAAAGTATCTCAAAAGGTATAAGGCTTCCGGCCCGGACGGGTTTTCCTCATCGGTTTTTAAGGATGGATGTTTAGCCTTAGTTTTTGAGTTAAGGGACTCCTGAGAATAGTGTGGGACAGGGAGTAGATTCCAAGTGAATGATGTGAATCGGCAATCGTATCGATTTTCAAGAAGGGCGTTAGATCCTCTGGTGAAAACCACAGATGGACTAGTTTAATCAATGTCTCTAAACTTCTCGCTGGTATTGCACTCTGTCGACTTTCTGCCTCATGTGAAGAGTGCATGCATGAGAACCAGCCTGGTTTTAGACCTGGTCTAGGTTGTATCGACCACATCTTCACTCTTCGCCAAACTCTAAAGCGACATTCTTTCCGTAGACCCACCATCTCAGTCTTCCTCGATCTGAAAGCGGCTTTCGACTCAGTTGACCGCTCTAAACTCGGGCGCTGCTTTTCCCTGAAGGGTGTACATGAGAAGTTTATTTCAGGATTACAATCCTTTTATACCAATAGCCGAAATGGAGTCCGAGCTTAAGTGACATTTTCACCCGAGTTCAGTACAGAAAGTGGTGTTCGACAGGGATGTCCCCTCTTTCTCTATTTCCTTTTCCATTTAACTTTGTGATAGATTTAATTCTTGAAACAGCCCTATCTTCGTGCGAGGATAACGGCATCGATTTGCTACCAGATGGCAGACTGATATGGAGTATGCAGACGACATTGTGCCACTGAGTGAAGATCCAGGTAAATTGCGAGCTTTTCGGTGTATCTATCTTTGGTACGCCTTTATCTAGTGTAAAATACTGCTACAAAATGGGGTTGGTTCAGCCCTGAACCTCACCGTGAAATAATAGAGGAAATAGACGAATTTCGCTATCTGGACAGCTACATCTCACCCGGCGGACGCATCACCGATGATGTGTCGGCCCGCATACAAAAGGATCGATTGGCATTTGCTAACTTGAGACATCTGTCTCCGTCGCGACATCCGGTTGTCTGTGAAGGGTCGAGGGTATGCTGCAGCAGTTTGGGCAGTGCTGCTTTACGGAATAGAGACTTTACCATTACGGAAACATGGTAAAAATAGATTGTCGGTGTTCGAATACCTCTGTTTACTTCTCATTACACAAATATGGAGAAATTGGACGAGCAATGTTGAGATGGGGCGTGGAGTTTTAGGCTATCGCGGTCGTTTACTGGAATAAGTGGTCGACATCCATAGACCTCGGTGGTTGGGACATGTGCTGCGCATGTCACCAAATAGGTTACCACGGCGAGCAATGTTTGCCGAGGTAGGTAGTGGGTAGAAGTATGTCAAGGGCGGTTAGACTACGACGTAGCATGAGGTGGTGGTGGCACCATGGTTTAGTCGCTGGAACCGGCATGCTTTGGACCCTATGGTTCGAGTTTGGAACAGATGTTATTGAAGTAATTGTGCGTCATGCTCATAGTATTAGATACTAATACTAATGCTATGGTCCGAGGTTTGAGCCTCGCCATCCACCGTTCGTGGTGGGCAGCTTTGCTGTCGTCCGGTTCAATACCACGCCTAACCCGGTGGGGCCTTATGTGGTTCGCCACTCTAAGTCCCGGGGCTTGGATTACCGTATTCCATGACAGAGTAGCAGGTCTTCATGACTTTGGGGTCCGCTCCGTCTGTTGTTCACCACACAAATGCGTGTAATAAAAAAAAATGAAAACCCTAACAAGAGGATAGGGTCGCATAGGTTCTGTTAGGCTTCGTGGATGGGGATTCTGAGAGCATGGTAATAGCGGATTAGAGACACTGAGTGATATGGTTGGGTGTACCAAACAGTGGCGCTCGTGCATCTACTCATTATTGTTGCAACCGCAGTCTATATGAATTCTCTATCTTCTCCTTGAGTTTGCTCTCGACAGTTCAATCTTCATTCTGCTCTTTTTATTAAAATGGGAGACCAAAGGACAGCAACCAAAACTGGCGCATGAAAACGCATGGTTAATGGTTGTAAAAGCTGAACTGATCTGAATATTGCGGTTCAAACCTAGCGGGATGTACATACTGTCATAGATTAAACTAATGCCGATTTAATCTTTGCGGGATAGGTTAACGAGTACTGAGCTAGCGAAACTTCTTATCAATTGGTTTGCATCAAAGCTCTTTTCTCTGAGCTTACCAATTTCTAGTTTTCAAGATCTAGTATATGTTGCTCCTTGAAGAAATATTTTCTCCTGGGCTTCTTGAATGGATTCAGATTTTGTCAGATCTTTTACGTTGTTTTCGACAAATCGTTCAAATTAGTCATTTTCCCTTTTAATGAATTCGTCTTTCTCGCGCGAAGTTCTCTTCGGATCATCTTTCATGTGTTTGAAGAAGGAACTTATCCTTTTAAATAAATTTAGTTTTGGTACATCCACACCAACTCACAGACAGTTGGGTCTGCTTAATGTTTTTTATGTTGGAAATGATGTGTGTGCCTCGGTTCTAAGGATTCAGTTTTTGAGAATTTTTTGTGAAGGCTTATAAAGAGCACTGGACAACTGATTCGTTTTTGTTGCTGTTCATCGCAATGCGTACCATTTAGGTTTATGTTTTTTTTAATGACATAAAACTGTAAGTTAACTTGTTCTTCAGTCCATGTTTACTTCATGTGTACACCTTTTTCAATTAACCAATCTTCTTCTAAAGTTAATGCTACGTCCAGAAAGGTTAGTTAATTGTATTCTCTCCTTTCTTGAGTGCATGGTTAGTAGTTGCACAAACTGAAACTCTTGAGTGAGGCGAATGGCTCCAGGTGCATCATTGCAACTCGGAACTATACTGATCAGACCTCTCCCTTTCCAGAACATCACCGACGGGGGTGTTAAATTGCGTTTGACAGAATTTTGTTTTACGCAAACATTTTACCCAGATCTGCGCAGGCTGGGATCTAGTATCAGTTCCCCTACAATATTTAGACCCTAGATATTTATTGATATCTGCTTCTCTTCATTACAAGTTGTGCCTAACAAACCATAGAAGAGATAAGTCTTCATTCGCGAATACCTTCAGCGCAGTAGGGAAAACCGGTTGTTAGCTTCAAGATTATTGTTAAAAAAGAACAATTGAGGCCTTATTAGAAGATGCATTGTACTGCACTGGACAACGCTACTTACCACGTAATTGCCTTGATTTATAAGAACTAGGTTACCTTTTCTACCTTCCTATAATACACTGAGTATCCCAAAATAAAAGTATAATGAATTTTTTTCATCTGCATTATTCTGTTCTCCATCTCCTGTATTGAAGAGTGCACTTTCTTTAATTCCAGGTATCTGCACTCGATATGTTCACAGAAAAGAATACTGGAACCAATCTCCCAGCCCAAATTGAAATCTACTCGACGGACGGAAGTGATTATAACTTCCTATTCATTGCTAAAGGGGGTGGATCTGCTAACAAAACATTCTTATTCCAACAAACCAAAGCACTTCTAAATCCAGACAAACTTTATTCCTTCATTGGCGAAAAAATCAAGGTGACTTTGCATCACTATCTCAAATATTTCTGTCTTAGACTTTGGGAACCGCCGCTTGCCCACCGTACCACTTGGCCGTCGTTATCGGTGGCACTTCAGCTGAAATGACTTTGAAAACAGTCAAGTTGGCCTCCTGCAAATATTTGGATAATTTGCCTACCACCGGTAAGTTGATACCCGGAATATTCTTGCTGTGTTGGATTGTCATATATGGTAGGAATTCTTGGGAGTTGCGGAAATAAGTTGAACCAAATCAGTGGTTTGGTTTACACGATTCGGACATTCTCTAACATTTGTTCCATTTCGCCTGTTCTCCGAGCTTGGCAATTTGTTTGCAAACGTTTCGTCACCAACCGAGGTGACATCATCAGTGCTTGTGAAGTGGCCTAGCATTTAACATTTGTTTAATCCTTTTTCTTCATTATACCCAACCCTCTCCCTTTGTTCATATTTTCAGACCTTTAGGTAATTTCTAATTATTTCCGGTACCTCGTGCATCCACTTAGATTGTTGTTTTCCCGTTTACACTTTCAGTGGTGAATCTACTAAAATCGATAACAGCCAGCCACTTTTTCTCTGTGGAACACAGCCTTATTGCTCCTCCGCTTTGGCTTTCATATTCTAATAATACCCCAGTTTAATCATGGCATTTTCCAAATTTTACTTGTTCTTTGTGGAGCTTCATATACTTTCAGATTGATTTTCGCGTCACTGGTAGGCCGCTGTAAAGTTCCCCAACTCAATACCCCGTATCCTACCGGAGTATAATGTACCTCGACACCTGAATAAGCTTCAGGACTTGAGTCACCGGGTCTCGACTGGACAGTAAATTCTCTTAACTGTGAACTTCATCCTTTCAACTTTTCATCACCCAGAGATTTCTACTTTAATCCAGGTAACGAACATGGAAGAGCTTTCCGCGACCTGGACGCTGAGGCTAGAGTACTGGAGCTCACACGATCGATCGGCATTGGTGCACAGTTTGGCGGGAAATATTTCTGCCATGATGTTCGTGTTGTACGGTTGCCCCGTCACGGTGCCTCCTGCCCGGTCGGTATTGGTGTCTCTTGCTCCGCTGATCGTCAGGTGAGGCGGTCTCTACACGTATTTTGCGGTTGGTGGTTAACTGGATTGATAATTTTGTATCCGACGAATTCTGTCCGGATTCGCCCCTCGAGAAATTTTTGATAATAATTAGGCGTATACACGTAGAAAATATTTCGCTACCCCGCACCCTGTCGATTTCATTCTTTCGAAACAACCCTGCACTTTAGAGCGAGGTGTGGCACAAAGGAATCGATAAACCTTATCACCTTAAAATCGGACTGCTATGTGAATGCTAGATATCGATCCAAGTGGATCACGTGGATGCGACTGTCGCTATCGGTGCACTTTGTTCTTCATGGCATGTTCTGTTTGCTGGACAAAAAAACGCAATGCATACGTGTGGTTCGTACCGAGCAATAGGCTATTTACAGTCTGCGGTATTTTTACTCAGCGATTGATATGTTCCAATTCGTTTTTCTAACCGAAGTGTTTTATTAGTCCATCTGTTTTCGAATCTATGAAGAATGCGTCCAGCAAATTCCTTTGTTTCATCGGTCACGCTTTAAATCTTTAAAGTGTAAAATTGCGCCGCTAGTTTCGGTTTGAAATTAGCTTATCAAGAATGAATTCGTGGATTACTTCTGCTAACTGGATAATTACCTGAGGGATAACCATGGTGCAGTACGGAAGGTGATAATATAAAATTCCAAGGTTCAAGCGGTGAATGCGGGATCAAAAGACCTCGGGCATTGACGGGCAATTGTACAGAAGTTGAAGAGTCTCGTATGGTTCTTCGCGTGTGTCCGACATCTGTGGACCATAAATCTTTTGATCATCAGTGTTTACGGGGTTCGGTGCAGGTAGGATAAAATGAGCGGAGCGGTAACCTCGAGGTAAGTTGTGTGTTCGGTTGTGCTTCAGTAGTGATCAGAGCATATTCCTATCGGTAGTCTTCGCTGGTCAGAACACGTCGTGTATACCTATCAATTGTCTACCGCATCGCACCTTGTTTTCGTTTGTACGTTATTTTTTGTCGATGTTACGAGAGGTGTCTGTGCGGACATCATGCGTTCTGCTCCGGAATATTTTCCTCCCCGTGTTTCCTCCCTGCTTATTCTCATTCCGCGAGCGTCCTGTCTGTGTGAATTTATTTCTACGTGACTGAGTGTAAACTGCTTGCAAATTACAGTCAATCTCCTGCTATTTCGCATCCATCGGGAATTGGAAAAAGTGGGTAACTTCCAGGAACTGCGACATTACAGGGTCAACAGTAGTAGATGCTAATAAGTAGTATAAAAATCGGTTGATATTTTGTGATCAAAGAAACCGGATTGATGAAAAGTAGTTCAATCCCTTTAGTTGTTCCCAATATTTATAATTATAAACTGTTTATTTATAAGGGAATTTAGATCTACCGACCTGCGTAGCCTTTATGTATCGAATAAATTTAAATCTTTTATGACACCCTTAGCTTAATATCGGTACACTGCATGCAGTATTCAGCCCTTTTTCAGTTCTGTGTCTAGGTATCCCGAAACTGCCTACCTTTGTTCAGGGAAACTTTTTCTGACCCAACTATCCTATATTAATTTCAGATATTCCTCCATTTTGTTGCAATGTTAGGGATCTGCTTGTAATACAAGGTTGGTTCATTTGCATTGATTCACTGTGTTCGGTTGCATAATCTGTGCGCTCCCGGTTTAAGTGGATTTACTCCGCCTTAACTCATCGTACATCGACGAGTTTACGCTCGTTCGACTCAACTCTATGAGATCTATCTAGCGATATCTCTTTCTCGAATATTGTTGTATTGTGTATAACTTTTGCAAGCACTGGAGCTCACATTTCAGTTAAAAAGCATA